GCTTAGGGAATGGTTTAATGGTGGCCTTAGCAGCGCTGGGTTAACAGTTGGACTTGATGATCTTAAAGGTCTTTTCAGTGTAAATATTTTTATGATTCTATAATATTTCCTGTTTGACTTGTTTACACTACTTGTATGGTATAAACAAATACAAGTTTTAGGAAGAATCACTTCACCACCTTTCCTTTAGTTCTTCTCACACACTTCCATTTAAAAAAATCCTACCATTAGTACTTCTTAGTATATTCTTTTTCATTTAAAAAGAGAAGAAAAGCAAATTTTAATTCTCATTCTTGTGATAATAAGCAATGAAAAATAAGCAAATAACATCACGCACTCTGAGCATTTGGCAAAGAAACTGCAGTGCATATTTGATGATGGTATCTAAGACTTCTCTATAGAGGGAGACTCGTCATTATTGCTTCAGATGCCACTTGGAAATTTTCAGGCATTTACATTTAACTGCAGACACCAGATAACTAGATTAATATCTTACATTATCTATGCACAATATTGCTCCTATATGCTATAACCAAAGAGCACAAAATTCAGTGTCCTAAGATGAAGGTTTCATCCACATGCTAGAGAATTTTGACAAAATAGAACTGTACTTAAGAAAGTATATGCCAAGAGTACCTAGCTAAAATTTCAGAATTTCAGAAGCACTTTTGGAGTGGTGTAAAGCAACACAATTGCATTAGCTTTAAAAATTATCTTCTACCTCCACTGAATTTATAGATGACATTAAGTTTACAGTATAATACAGTAACAGGCATCCTGGAGGCATACAACATTCAAGAGTTTGTGCCCAGGCAGCTGCACACCAAATAGCAGACCATTTTTTAAAAACAGAAGAAATATGAAGCCAGTACAGACAGGGACGTAGCTTCAGGTAGCACTACCTCAGCTTTGCTGCATATGAAGATGAAGTTTGCCATTCTTGAAGCTCAGCTGAATCAATTTTAGAGCGGAAATCCACATCAGTCTTACCTGCCACAATTAACTCTGCTGGTTCTCTCAACACTGCTTTGTCGTACTATTACAGGAATTTCAAATTATCAAATATATAGGTTTTAGGGGTTTTAAATCAATTTTATAGTTGCCACCTTATCTGTCAGCTATTAAAAACACAACTTTCCAATTAAAGGTAAAGACCAGACAGAACATGTTAAAAGTATATTGAGATTTTCAATACCTTCACTTACAGTTAGCATGTGCATACAGAGCGCATGGGGAAAAAATAGTCATAGACTTTTCCCTCTGAAGTATATTCCATCTCATTAACAATTATAATCATTAGTGCCTAAAATCATAAATTTCTGCTATTTGAAAAATTTTTCATGAAGGTGTTCCCCAGTCTCAAGTATTTAAAAGAGTTCACAAGTATTACTTAACTGTTGAACTTACACAGCTCATTTTGCCCTTTTCTCCATGTGATCGTATCACTACTGAGAAGTTTTTTTTAATAGCAAATAAGTCAATGCAGAAAAATCCTCTGACTTAAATATTTTGGGATTACACTAACCAAGACTCATATAATAAGCCTTAACACTAATGAAAGTCACAGAATACTGAAAAGCAGTAACAAACTTCTGCTGAACAAATGCATGCTTTTATGATTTTGTGTATTTACTCCATTACTTGTACATTTATCAACTGATGCCTGTAAGCTCTTCAGAAGGGACAGGCAAAGGAGAGGCAGTGGGGTGGCTCCGTACATCACTGAGTGTTTCGACTGTATAGAGCTCGAGGACAGTGAGGATAAGATTGAGTTACTATGGGTAAGAATTAGGGGGAAGGTTAGCAAGGCAGACAGTCCTGTGGGAGACATCCAGCCAGAGCAGAGGCAGACAAAAAATTCTATGAGCAGTTGGCAAGTTTCACAATTGCTGGCCCTTGCTCTTATGGGAGGTTTTAACTTGATGGATGTCTGCTGGAAATACAACACAGTGGAGAGAAGGCAGTCTAGGAGGTTCCTGGAGTGTGTGGAAGGTAATATCCTGACACAGCTGGTAAGTGAGTTTACCTGGGGCAGTGCCCTGCTAGACCTGTTGTTTACAAACAGAGAAGGGTTGGTGGGAGATGTGATGGTCAGAGGCTGTCTTGGGCACAGCAAGCACAGAACGATAGCATTTGCAATACTTAATGAAGTAAGGAAGGTGGTCAGTAAAACCTCCTCCACTTTGGACTTCCAGAGGGTGGACTTTGGCTTATTCATGAAACTGCTTTGGAGAGTCCCCTAGGAAACAGTCCTTAATAACAAAGGGGTCCAGGAAGGTTACAAGGCACAGAGCAGGCCGTACGTATGTGTCGAAAGACAAGCCAGTGGAGAGAAAGACTGGCCTGTCTGAACTGGGAGCTTTCACTGGAACTCAGGAGAAAAAACAGATTTTATGACCTTTGGAAAAAGGGGCAGGTAACTCACAAATTGTTTAAGGATGTCACCAGGTCAAGAGAAAATTAGAAATGCGAAAGCTCAGCTAGAACTCAATCTGGACACCACTGCGAAAAATAATAAAAAGAGCTTTTTATAAATACATCAACAGGAAAGGAGGGCCAAGGAAAATACTCATCCTTTATTGGATGCAGCAGGGAACACTGTAACTAAGGATGAGGAAAAGGCTGAGGTAGTTAACGCTGCCTTCATCTCAGTCTTTCAGAGCAAAACCAGTTATCCTCAAGGCAGCCAGCCCCCTAAGTTGATAGACAGGGACGAGGAGCAGAACAGCCCCTCCTGCAATCCAGGAAGAAGTAGTTTGTGACCTGCTGTGCCACTTAAGACACTCACAAGTCTATGGGCCCAGATGGGATTCACCAAAGGGTACCAATGGAGCTGGTGGAAGAGCTTGCTAAGCCACCCTCCATTATTTACCATCAGTCCTAGCTCACCACAGAGGTCCTAGACAACTGAAGTTAGCCAGCGTGACACCCATCTACAAGAAGGGCCAGAAGGAGGATCTGGGGAACTACAGGTCTGCCAGCCTGACAGTGCCAAGGAAGGTTATAGTACATACAGAATGACGAGGGGATCAGGCCCAGCAAGCAGATCCTGCTTGACCAACCTGATCTTTTACGACCATCCATCGATTGGATGAGGGTAAGACTGTAGACGTGGTCCGCCTAGACTTTAGTAAAGTCTTTGATACCATCTTCCATAGCATTCTCCTGCAGAAGCTGATAGTCTGTGGCTTGTACATGTGCACCATTTACTGGGTAGAAAACTGGCTGGATGGCAGGCACAGCATGCTGATGAATGGAGTTAAGATCCAGCTGGTGGTTGACCACCAGTGATATTCCCCAGGGCTCAGTGTTGGTGCCAGTCCTGTTTGAGATCTTATCAATCATCTGGACAAGGTATCAAGTGCACCCTCAACATATTCACAAAGTTGGGTGGGAGTGCAGATTTGCTAGAAGGTGAGACGACTCTGCTAAGGGGTCTCGGTAGGCTGGATTGTTGGGCTGAGGCCAACAGGATGAGGTTCAACAAGGTCAGGTGCTGGGTCATGAACTTCAGTCACAACAACCCCATGCAGCACTACAGGCTTGGGAAAGAG